GATAAAAACGGATTCCCTTTGAAGAAGTGGTTTTCCAAATAATTTGATTGGTTGTGAAGTTTTTGTCTATTTTTCGGTTTTGTTTTTTTAATTCAGTTTATGGTTCCTTTCATTGATTTTCAAATTAGCTTCTCAACTTCAATTTTTTTTAAAAAGTTGTATATATTGCGCTTTGATTTTAATGTAATTTGTTGCTGTTTTGTTTATTCTAGCTATTTCAATCAAGATTGGCTGTGGTAGTTTTTTTGTTGGAGTTTTTAGTGATGTGCAAGAAACTTCTTTGATAGAAAATGAAACAACAATCTGATGTTTTCTTGTTTTTTGTTCAGGATAAAGACTGAAAATGATCATTCGTGAAACTGGTAGTTTTTATCATTTTCCTTTCAGCCAGTTTGTCTCTTGTAATTTTTTGGAGACTGAAAGCTCAATTAAGGTCCAGATTTGGTTGTTTTGAAGTTCTTGATGATCTACAATTTTTTGTGTCGAAAACGGATTCCCTCCTAACTGATTTTCCCATCAATCTGATTTAGTTGTGAATACTTTGATTATTCTCTATTTATTGTCTCTTTGAAATGAGTTTATAGCTCCTTTCTTTAATTACTCAAAGTGTTTTCTCAAACAGTTATTCAAGTAAGTGGTTTTTGCATTTTTATTTAAAAGTTCAAGTTGTTGCTTGATTGATTGATTCTCAAATTTCTACCGAGGTTTAGTTCGGTAAAACAGTTTTGTGCTGAAATCTTCAGTGATGTACTAGGAATCTCTTTGATACAATGATTTAAACAATGATCTGAGATTTCGTGTTTTTTTTGCGATAAGGACAGCAACAGTATCACCCCTGTGAAATTGGTGTTTTTCTACATTATTTTCTTCATTGTTTTAAAAATCTTGTTCTTGAATGTCAAAATAATGTTCAGAATTGATTGCATTAATAGTTTTTTTGAATAACTCTGTTTTTGTGATGAAAATGTATTCTCCTTGGAGAAATAAATTTCTGAATAATCTGATTGGTTCTGAAGCTTTTGATTATCTTTTGCTTTTGTTTTTTTAATGTTTAATGTTTTTTCAGTTTATGGGTCCTTTGTTTAGTTTTCAAAGCAACTATTTCTTGCTTTTTTTTGTTCAACATGGAGACTGAAAATGATCTTCCGTAAAATTGGTAGTTTTTATCAATTTTCTTTTGGTCAGTTTGTCTCAATCTTGTGATCTTTTTTGGAGACTGAAAGCAGAATTAGGGTCCAGATTTGGTTGTTTTGAAGATCTTGATGATCTGCGTTTTTTTTCTGTCGAAAATGGTTTCCCTCCCAACTCAGTTTCCCATCAATCTGATTAAGTTATGATTTTTTCGATTCTCCTTTGTTTATTATCTATTTGAAATGAGTTCATAGCTCCTTTCTACAGTTACCCAAAGTGTTTTCTTAAACAAGTATTCAAATAAGTGGTTTTTGCATTTTGATTTAAAAATTTAAGTGGTTGCTTGATTGATTGATTCTTCTTTTTCTACCGAGGTTCAGTTCGGTAAAGTTGTTTTTCATGTGTTAAAACTTTCAGTGATGTACTAGGAATCTCCTTGATATAATTATTTAAACAATGATCTGAGATTTGGTGTTTTGTGCGATAGACTGAAAAAGTATCACACCTGTGAAATTAGTGTTGTTCTCAGATTGTTTTGTTCATTGTTTTGAAAACCTTGTTCAATTATTTAAAACTGTATGCCAAATTAATGTCCAGAATTGATTGCATTAATAGTTTTCTTGAATAACTTTATTTTTGTGATGAAAACGGATTCCCTTTGAAGAATTGATTTACCAAATAACTGATTGGTTGCGAAGCTTTTGATTATCTTGTGCTTGATTGTTTTTTAATTGAGTTGTGAGTCCTTTGTGTAGTTTTTTTAAGCAACTTTTTCAAATTTCTTATTGAGTAAAACTTGTACTTATTGCATTTTGATTTTAATATGTTATTCGTTGCTTGTTTGATTGATTCTAGATATTTCAATCCTGATTGTCCTTGTTAATTTTCTTGTTGAAGTTTCCAGTGATGTGCGAGGAGTTTCTTTGATAGAAACGATTGTAACAAAAATCTGATGTTTTCTTGTGTTGTGTTTAATATAGAGACTGAAAATGATCTTCCGTAAAGTTGGTAGTTTTTATCAATTTTCTGTTGGTCAGTTTGTCTCACTCTTGTGATTTTTTTGGAGAATGAAATTGCGAATAATGTCCAGAATTGGTTCTACTAAAGGTCCTCTTTGTTAACAATTTTTTCGTGTTGAAAACGGATTCACTCTCAACTGATTTTCCTATTAATCTGAGGTAGTTGTGAAGACTTCGATTCGTTTTTGTTCATTTACTGTTTGCAATGAACTTATAGCTCCTTTCCACAGTTTCTCAAATTAGTTGTCTCAAGTTTCTCTCTAACTATTATTTGTGGTTGCTGCTGTTTGATTTTGATTTTTTTTTGTTGCTCGATAGGTTGATTCTAAAACTACTAGCGAGATTTGTTTCACTATAGTTCTTTTTTCTTTAAAAGTTTAAGTTATATTCTTGGAATCTCTCGGATATAATGATTTTCATAATCATCTGAAATTTTTTTGTTGAAGAGTGAAACAGTGTCACCTCGGTGAATTGGTATTTTCTATGATTTATTTTGTTGATTTTTCCTGGTTTTTCTATTCATTCTTGACATTGAGGGCAGAAATAATGTCCAGAATAAGTTGCTTTAAAGATATTTGAAAAACAATGTTGATTTTCCACCAAATAACTGATTGGTTGCGAAGCTTTTGATTATTTTTTTCTTTTTTTTTTTAAATTATGTTTGTGAGTCCTTTGTTTAGTTTTTTAAAGCAAATTTTTCGCGTTTCTTCTTGAGTAAACTTGTACTTATTGCATTTTGATTTTAATATGTTATTTGTTGCTCGATTGATTGACTCTAGATACTTCAAACAAGATTGATTTCGGTCATTCTTTTTGTTAAAGTTTTCAGTGATGTGTAGGAAATCTCTTTGATAAAAAATATTGTAACGTTAATCTGATATTTTCTTGTGTTTTGTTCAGCATAGAGACTGAAAATGATCTCCCGTAAGTGAAACTGGTAGTTTTAATCCTTTTTCTTATGGTCAGTTTGTCTCTTTTGTTTTTTTAGGAGACTGAAAGCACAGTTAAGGTCCAGATTTGGTTGTTTCGAAGATCTTGATGATCTCTACTTTTTTCGTGTCGAAAATGGATTCCCCTCTCAACTGATTTTTCCATCAATCTGATTTAGTTGTGATTACATTGATTCTCCTTGGTTTATTTTATTTTTGAAATGAGTTGATAGCTCCTTTCTACATTGTTTTCTAAAGTTTCTCATTTACTAAATTATGTGATTTTTGCATTTGGATTTCAAATTTCAAGTTGTTGCCTGATTGATTTATTCTTAAATTTCTACCGAGGTTTAGTTCGGTAAAGTTTTTTTGGTGCTAAAATCTTCAGTGATTTACTTGGAATCTCTTTGATATAATGATTTAAATAATGATGAGATTTTGTTTTTTGTTAAAAAGACTGAAACAGTATCACCCCTGTGAAGCTGATGTTATTTTTCACATTATTTTTCATCATTCTTTCAAAAACCTTGTTCAAATTTTTAAGACTGAATGCCAAATTAAGGCCCAGAATTGGTTGCATTAATCTTTTTGGATAACCTTCTTTTTGTGATGAAAACGGATTCCCTTTGATGAACTGATCTTGCAAATTATCTGATTATTTGTGAAGCTGTTGCTTATATTTTGATTTTATGGTTTTTAACTGAGTTTGTTGGTTCTTTGTTTAGTTTTTCAAATTAACTTTTTCCAGTTTCTTGTTTGTAAAACTTGTACTTAATGCATATTGATTTCCATATGTTATTTGTTGCTTGTTTGATTGACTCTAGAAACTTCAATCAAGATTGGTTTTGGTCATTCTTTTCTGTTTAAGTTTCCAGTGACGTGCAAGGAATCTCTTTGATATAAAATGATTGAAAAATTAATCTGATGTTTTCTTGTGTTTTGTTGAGCTTACAGACTGAAAATAATCTCCCGTGAAACTGGTGGTTTTCATATTTTTTTTTCTTTTGGTCAGTTTGTCTCTTATGATTTTTCTGGATACTGAAAGCACAGTCAAGGTCCAGATTTGGTTGTTTCGAAGATCTTGATGATCTCTACTTTTTTCGTGTCGAAAACGGATTACCTCTCAACTGATTTTCCCATCAATCTGATTTAGTTGTGATTACATTGATTCTCCTTTCTTTATTATATTTTTGAAATGAGTTGATAGCTCCTTTCTATATTATTTTTTAAAGTTTCTAGTTTACTAAAATATGTGGTTGTTGCATTTGGATTTCAAATTTTAAGTTGTTGCCTGATCGATTGATTCTTAAATTTGTACCGAGGTTTAGTTCGGTAAAGTTTTTTTTGTAATAAAACTTCCAGTGATATACTTGGAATCTCTTTGATATAATGATTTAAATAATGATGAGATTTTTTTTGTTATAAAGACTCAAACAGTATCACCCCTGCGAAACTGTTGTTATTTATCACCTTGTTTTGTTCATTGTTTCAAAAATCAAAGTGATGTCCAGAATAGATTGCTTTGTTCGTAAGGGTTGTAACTGTATCTCCCCAGTGAAATTGGTAGTTTTTATCAAATTATTTATTTTTTGTGGTTTTTTTCTCTGTATATTTTCAAAACTAGCTTTATTCCTTTTGATACATCTAGTTGTTTGGGAGTTTTTTCAACCTTTTTTTTTCAATTTTTTTCCGATTGTTCCGCAACTGGAAAGAAGCTTTGCTTCCCCTCTGTGTGTTAGTTTTTTCATGTAAGTTTTCGCTTGGTTTTTTAATTGATTGATTCAAAAATCTTTATTCGAGGGTTTATTTACTAATTTTTGTAGTTAAAGCGTTTTTATTTCAATTTGTAAGTTATTGCTTGATTCGAAAAACTTTAGTTTAGGGTTGACGTGTCTTAAGATGAGTCTAATCAAAATCGAGCTGAATTGACATTAAATTAAATTGTTTGGGTTACATAAGTTAAAAACATTCTAAGGGTAACTAGTTAAACTTGGGTGAATTCGCTTTAAAGACATACCAAAAAGCCAACTAAATTTAAGCGATCAAAATCTGCCTGAAGTTGTAGTCTGATTGTTTTCAATCCTGATTGGCAATTTGGTTTTTTCTTTCGTGCGAGATTTTTCGATTCATTTAGTTTCTCCCTTATCAAACTCTTTCGCGTCTTCTGTGAGTTGTTTTTCTCTTGTATTCGAATATGTACACTGATGTCAGCTAGACTCGCACCATCTCTCTATGTTCTGGCGGAGTAGATTTCACCTTCGATCTGTTTGGTGAAGAGAACTTGCAAATAGTGGTTTGTGTTGAGGTGCTGGATGTTGGAGAAAGCACAGCCGAGATATTTTCCTAAAACAGAACAAATTTCTTTTGTCGTAGTCCTGCGAGTTGCAACAATAGACGTGACCTAAGAAAAAAGTTAAATCGTTAGCAAAAAAACGGGTGATAAGTTACAATAGGTGGTAATTTTGAGTATAGTGCATGTATTCAATTTGAGAACTATAATGCATAATATAATCATTTCATTTGGAATCACTTGTACTAAGACTAAGATAGTTTTTCTAAATACAGTACTCTGCCAAAAGAAATGCTATTCAAAATTTCACATTTTACACATCTTTTGCTAAAAATTTGGCTTTGAAATGTGCGAAGTATAACAAAAATCGATGCAGCTATTGAAATTGAACCTACATTTTACATTTTCGTTAATTCGGCTAGTGTTTTGTCTACTGGAAACGTTGACCGCATAGCCTTACCGTTATGCTGGAAATTGATTGGGCCAATCAGATTCGACTCTGTATATCTTTCAGCTCAATATATAGAAATGTAGTTTTTGAGCCGTTTAGTGGGGGCAGTATAACAGAGTCGAAAATAAAAATCTTGCTCAACAGTGCCGATTTTTGAATACTGATTTTGGTGAAGTCCCATTTCTACCAACGTTCATTTGTACCAAAATGCAAAATCGGTCCCATTTGTACCAAAATTATTCAATTCGTTTTCTGATTGATCGAATTGTGAGCCAACGAATTATTACATAAAATTTTCTACTGTTCAAACAGAAGAAAACTAAGCAGCAGAATAGTGACCGCCGCAGTCGCGCCAACGCGTTGAGAGCTTGCCAACAAAGGGTAGGACTCTTTACGAAAATTAGCGCCGGATATCGCCGAGAAGTGGCGACGCGCGCCTACCGCGCCCACCGGCGACCTTAAACCAAGAGCTTAACGTAGTTGGCTTAATAGTCTTAGGCCAATTGAATATTTTTGGTAATAAAGCGATTGATTTTTTTTTATTTTGGTATAAATGGGACTGATTTGCCATTTTGTTACTTGTGAATACCCACCACTGATTTTACTCAGCCTAAATCACTAGCAACTAATTAAAATCAGAAGTTGAAAAGACGAAAATGGCTATTTTAATTGATGCCGCTTGTTAAACAAACAAAAGTTCTCCAAACGCGGGGTGAGAGTTTTCCTGATCAAACAATTATTTCAGCAAACTCAGTTTTCAACTTGGTTTCGCTCCAAAATAAAACAGTATTCACGCAAAGCTGCCAACGATTAACAAAAAAAAGTTCCCAAAGATGATCAATTTTTGAGACTTTTGAACAGATTTTCGGTTTCGGTACTGTTGTACTTGGGTACTGTTGAACGCCTCCGTTTTGTGCAAAGATCCGACTGCCTTTGTTTTTGTTTGAAAATTAGTTCAACTGGTCATTATCTAGATTTGATTACTAACTTGGTGCTTCAAAAAATATTTCCAAAATCGTTTTCAATAATGGTAGTCTAGTCTCTCTTACCATGTTGAATGTTTGACGAAGCTTTGAAAATATTGAATTAGCATTTAAATGCTTACGCTTGCAATTAGCGTGCGTTGCCAAACCGGAATATAGACTTTTTCGGGTTGACAATTAGTTTAATAGAACAATTTGAGTCATTTTATCTTTGGTTCATATGAAGTCAAACGTCAGGCGTTAATTTGCGCATGCGGTGAAGAGGTAACGCTTTTGAATCCCGCCAGGACCTGTTTTTTTGTGAGCGGAAAATATCCGCGCGTCAAAAAATCTTTGTCGGACTTCTATTTGTCAGATTTTTTAACGCAGCAGCAAATTAGCCTTAAATTTGGGCATTTTTAGTCGAATTAAAAAACGTTTCAGTGTATTCCATTTTTGGGTAAGTAATTGAGTTTCAAAACTTTTTGCTTTTATATGATTGTTTTTCCATGCTGTTCATTTGAAAATCAGATTTAGTGCAGTGGTAACACCCATGCTTGACTAATAATCACAGAAGTTCGATTTCAGTCGGGGCCTGTTTTTTTGTCGAAACTGAAAATTTTCGAATATTCTTGTCTTTCGTCTCTGCTTATTTTTGTCTGCTTAGGTCCCGCAGAAATGTTCGGTTTCTTTTTTTGAAAGCGCTTTATAAAGTTTCTTATGGTGCTGGTAATTTTGTTTCCGGAGTTTTTGTCCTTTTCTTGCAATTTTTTTAAACAAAAAGAAACGTTTATTTTTTGTTTTTGATTGTCTTTTCATTTGCTGGTAATCATATTCATACCTTTTTGTATGAATCCATCAGCAAGACCTGGATACAAAATTTTTAGGGTGTTATATAAACCAGCCGAAGTATCAACCAACTGAAATTGCGTGAGTGTTAATATTAGTTGTATAACAATTATGTAACAGTTACGAAAGTCATGCACATTTCATTCTTATGATGTAATTTTTCGGCTGGCGTACATACAGCGCTTTTTTTTGGTCGGTTTATACTTCGGCCGGCTAATATACTCTCATTTTTGGGGACAGTGAAAATATATGCATTTAAGAACTGCTAGAATAAGTTTATTTGACTGACCTGGACTGAGGATTTCACTGTTCAAGGTGTCCTTAAAAGCAGATGATGGCAAACTAGTTATGTTATTTGTTGGATGAAATAGCCACAGCAAATCCATGCCTGATGATTTTTGGACTTGAGAAACACAATGAGACATATTTCCCTCTCGGTCGAAAATAAGAACAGAGAACTGTGCTGTTCCGAATAACCTACTCAGTTGAATTGTGGCAGAGGGGTCTCTTATGTATAAAACTGTGTTTATGTTTTTTCAGTTGATCGATACGGTGTCACTAAAAACATTAAATTATCTGATCAATTTGGGTTCAATTAAGCAGGCGCGGATCTAGAAATTTCTCGAGGGGGGCGGATTTCCAAAAAAAAATTTGAAAATTTTGTCGACCTTTTTTTGGTCGACTAAATTGATTTTCTGAGCTCTCCCAAACCATTAAAAAGACAGCAATTCGACCAAATTTTCTGCGCTGCAGGCAAATTTTTGAAAAAAGGCCAAAAAAAGCATTTTTAGGCACTTTTTTGGAAAATTTCGACAAAAATCGCGTTTTTTCGGCGCGCGCTCCCCCCTCAAAATTAGTATAGATTGGCGCCAAAGGCGCCTTCAGAAAGTTTTAAGGGTCCATCAGCAAATATGGATATCTCAAAATAGTACTAAGGGGGGGATCTTTTGAAAACGGCCGAACTTTTTTATTTAGGTACTTAATTACTGTTGTTTTTTCTATTTAAACGTGATTCGGGACCCTTCTTTTAAAATCGGCTTTTCAGGGACCCCTCTATCACCTGCAGTGCAAAGCAAATCCACAATTATGGAGTTGATTTGGCACTTGGAATAGAAAACAGGTGCTGCCGCCATCTGGTATAGTCAAATCGCTCACATCTCCAATAGATAAAGTGGGAACTGATGAGTGAGAGAATGCTGCATCGACACGTGAACATATGCTATTGACTGTTGCATCGTCGTGAACAAATTGACCCTTAGCAATTCGCAGTAACTCCGAATTCTTAAATAAAATTTTAAATTGACTGCAATGTAGTGAATCAGGGCTGTGGTGTTTTTGTTCCGAACAGTAGTATCCGTTTTAAAAAAAATCAGCCATTTTTAGAACCTCTAGAAATTGGGGGTCAAATGTGGTTACGAATTAAAATATTATTAGTCGTGACTTGGATTCTAAAATTATTAGTGTCGAGAAAACCTGATTTGCGTTTTTTGGCCAAAATTTGATGAAAAAGTTTCCTCTTGATTTTAAAGTCTATACTTAAACGTTATTTTAGCTTAGGTTACCGCTCTTTCTTGCCTTTCGCCTTATTTCAGAAATTTGCTGGCATCGTTTTTTACTAGATGCAAAGCAACCGCCTGTCCTGATTTTGTGGACGGAAAAGTTTTTTTTTGCTGCTGTTATAAAAGAATTATTCTACGCTTTTTTTAACACACGAAATCAGGTACCACTCATGAACGTCAGTTAGGGTCGAGTGATATGTCATATAAGAGCCCTTTCAATCGTGATTCCATCGATATAGTAAATTTCCCGAAAAAATTTCAGTGCCAAGAAAAATAATTTGAAAATGAAGTCAAATTTGCAGTGAGTAAGGCAAGCGAGTGGAACGAAAAGCTTTTACTTATTTTTAAAAACTAAATTTATAGCCGTTCAAGCTCGTAAAGTTGCGACTCTTTTTTTGTTGTGGATTTTGGTGAATCAAACTTGGTGGTCCAATTAAGACATAAGTAATGTTTCTAAGGTTAGTTTTTTCTTCCCAACACGCGCACAAAAATTAAATCTCATGAAATTGGAAGTTATTGTTGTTGGATTTTTTTTCAAAAATTGTTGTGATTCGAACTTACTTCTGTTCGACTCACAATTAAACTGGCTACTTTTGTTGTTGTAACCTCTCTCGAGGAGAGGAAAATATCAATAAAAAAGGTTTGTTTTTGAATTTTTTTAGCCATTTATGGTTTTTCTTTATAACAATATCAAGAATGTTGTCACAGTGTCAAGAAAAACTGGTCTGCTAAATTTTTGATTTTTAGATCCAATTAGACAAAATTTGCTACTAGAATTTAAATAAGAATAATTGGCCTTTCTTGCTGTTTTCTCCTAATCAAATCGCATTTTCAAAAAAAAATCAGAAAGTTCAGACAACAGAAATCTCAAAAATAAATTATCCATTTTTTTCGAATTGAAAAATTCGAGTTTTTTTTAAATCAATGAGAGGTCTAAATTTTTTGTGCACTTGCTCAACAACTGTCTATTCTGGTTGTTCTGATCATTCAAAATTGGTGAACTTGGATTCGGGTGTTTTTTAAGTTTTTTCCTACGCAAAATCATGTGCCACAAATAGTCATCGGAATGGGTCGTCGAATGATATATCGTATTACAGTCCTTTCAGCCGTAATTCGAAGGCACGTTAAAAAGTTTCAAAAAGTTTTCCCAGTGTCAAGAAACACCGGTTTGAAATTTTTGAACTTTAGTCGAAATTTGAGCGAGGAAAGCAATCGAATAACCTTCGTTGTCTGAAGTTTGTATGCAAAGTAGACTAAAATTGATTTTACTGAAACTAAAATTATTTAGCTCTTCGTAGGCAAACATTATCTTAATTTAGTGCTATCTAGTTTTGTTTGTTATTCATTTTTTGGAGAAATGATGTCGATTATACCCAATTCACTATCTTTTCACAAGTTTGTAGTTTTCCAATCACACGGGGTGCAAACAACGCTTTCAATTTGAAAATAAGGAAATAAATATATATTATGAATATAGTCGGAACATTCTGTGCTACTTGCACAGCAACCGGTTATCCTTGTTATTATTTCAAATTAGGCTGAGCATACGAGGCCACGTGAAAAAGGCAAGCCACTCGCAAACGAGACGCTCATTTTTTATGGAGGACTGCTGTTGTGCTTGATAAAGTTTTTTTTCAACAAGATCTTTCTTTCGGGTCGTCTCTTTGACAGTACAACACTCCCCCTTTCAGAAATGGGAAGTTGTTAGCTAGTTTTTTCGATTATTCTTAGTAATCATTGGGTTGGCCATTTGTAAGTGAAGGTGTACTTACGTTAAAACCCAGCACATTCATGTTTGTAAGTCTTCAATAGCTGTTGGAATTAAAATGGTCTTTTTTGATATTATTGTTGAATAAATAATCAGTTTGTAGTTTGAGTTTAACGATGTGCTCTAGCTGCATTGCGATTATGTTGCAATTTCTGTCGACAGATTTTAATTATAGATTTTGTCGGTGGAGTATTTTTAAGAAGGGATCTCAAAATAGTAATTATTGAAGAAGTATTTTAAGAAGCCTGGAAAGTAATGTAAATCAGAGATGTCTGAGTACTCAGAGCTTTTTTAAAATTGCTTCATCACTGATTCAGTGGTAAATTTTGTCGATTTTGTAGGTACGACCAGAAAAGCTAGCTGAAAGTTTTAAAAGTAGCAGTCATTATGTAACGTCAGAGGAACTGAAGCATATTAGTAGTGTTTGTTTTTTAAGTCTTAACTTGCAAATCTCAAGACGAAGTTGAAGCAAAACAAGAACTCTGTCATGCTTAAGCTAAACTGTAGGTAAGATTTTTTTCGGATTTTTATTTGTTAGTCATTTTGTTAGTCATAAAGAACCGCAGAACAACAGAAGGCTATAAAATTGACATAGAGCTCAAAAGATCTGTTTTTTTTTCTAAATTACGTTGAAAGGACCGGTGTTTGGACCATTGATTTTTTTTGTATGAAAGTACAAATTTTCTTACATGTGTTTAAAGTATTGATCTATAAAAAGAATGACAACTTTCAGTAGCTGAACAAGTTCTCTTGAAATAGATATTTTTTGTATCCGTTTTCGCATATTATTTGGCTTTGAATTGTTTGAAATTGGTCTGTTTTGTGATCGAGGCTTAAGACATGGGAGTTCGTATATCTGATAGGCTGAGTTTGATTATTAGAGTAAACTAACTGCTAGAATCTTGCTAGATGTTGTTCCTGGGTTCGGTTCAGAGGAGGATCTTTAGTTTTCACCGATTTCTCCGGCAGATTGGTGTTCGAGGTCTTCTGTTCCATCCAAAGTTGTCCTTGTTCATTTTTCTAATGTGAATTTATTTTGTTGCAGTTAGATATAATAGTGTGAAGTGGTGTTATTGTTTAGTACATTTTCTGTTTAGAAGAGGACGACGAGGAACAATGTTACAGATTGGAGTTGCCAGTTTACAAACACATGGACACTTCACTGTTGGACTGTGACGTACAGCCCAGCTACGTGCGTGTGACCTTGAAAGGAAAGATATTCCAGCTGACCCTGTCCAAAGAGGTCAACTGTGACTCAAGTGTGGCTAAGAGGTCGCAAATTACTGGCAGTCTCCAAATCACGATGCCATTTGCAAAACAGATCATCAAAACATCCCCGAACTCACAGAAACCCAAAGACACGACTGCAATCAAAACTGCCCACAAAAGTGCAGAAAAGGGTGAAAATGACTCAAAATTATCGGAAAACGAGAAAAACAAGACTGAATTTTTAGAAGTTGACAGTAGCAGTGGAAAACTTGTCGATTTGAATGTAGTCGGCAAGCCTGAGAAGGGACAGGCGACAAAGCGAAACGCACCCTACAAGCCGAAAAGCTACTTTGCCGATGTGAGCTGCTCTCAAAAAGTGAAAAATTTGATAGAAGTACCTGATGATTTACCGCCATTGGACGATTTTGGGTTCTAAAAGAACATTTTAGGCTGCTTTTCATTTCATTTTTAGATTTAATTGTTCTGAAAATGTCAACTGTACACATGTTGAAATTTTAAAATTCATTATAGAAATTGTAAATTTGTAGATAGCTTTTATCAAATACAAATTGGCAGAGGATTACCTTTAAAAGTAGTTAAGCGCACAAAAGAAGCAAATGCTTGAGAGATTGTTTTAGAGAATGAGGAATTCTGTTCAAATTTTGTTTCTTTTTTTCAGGTTTTAGTTGAAAATTGAAAATAGTCGACTGACATCAACAACGCCTCAGTTTTAAACTGTCAACGAAAATAGTAAATAAGTTAATCTAGTCATAACTGAACCATCAGCATTGAGTTGAGGTGAGTAAGATGCAACACGACGACCTCATCTGGAGTGTGATTAGGAAGAACCACTGCTCCTACCGTCTGTCATCCAGCGAAGTGCAGAAGTTCTGCCAGAATGTGTACAACAACACTGGCCTCTGCAACCACACCTCCTGTCCACTGGCCAATTCACAGTATGCCACCATACGAGAAGTGGAGGGAAAACTCTATCTCTACATGAAGGTAAATGCACATTGAATATCATGATATTGATAGTGGCCGCTAGATAAAGACCACCCCAAGAAAAAATCAATTATCAATTCGTTAACCCATTCATGTGCGTCACTTATTAGATGACGAGGCATTTGGCTATTTTTTTATTTCAACTTTAAATTCAGATGATCCGTATGAAATACAACATCAGTAATATATTTACAATCTATAATAAAGTCTTTTTTTTTGAGTTTCATAAGTTTTTGAACATCTGAATTAGGGAAGTTGTTCTGTTGGTTTGGTCGATCCTCTTCATGTCTCATTCGAAAATCAGGCGCCGTTTCCGGTTTGTCCTGATGTTTTCATCTTGCTTCACGGAGTCTTGCATTAGATCTTTCGAATTGTCTTATTATTCCATTAGTCAGGCTTAACGTCTTCACCACAAACAGCTCTAGGTTTGACATACTGAGTTTGAAATCTGATCTCATGAGCTCAGCGCTCTTTCTTAAGATGACTCCCCTGAACCTGACTACTATGGGGATAACACTCGCTTCAGTTGTCCCTGGCAGACTCGTCATTACTTCCTTCATGGGGTTTTCTCTGTGATAATTTTCTCGCTTTTTCTTATCAGCTGCCATCATGTCTTCCTCGTTACTGTCTGATACTACTGTATCATCAATGATTCCTGCCTTTTCCTGAAGAGCTACCTCAAAGTCTGGCTTGAGACCTTCTTGCTTGAAGGTTCACATCTAAAGGATGCTTCAAGTATGGTTTAAAGGCCTTTTCCGGTCAAGATTCTCTCAAGGAACTTACATAACTCGTCGTGTCTCTTGGTTCGGGCACTCCAGGTCTTAGTACATTTCTGTACAATGTGGTTTATGCTCTCCTGGCTCATGCAACCCGCATCGCAGACAGTGCTACCGACTTTGGTGTATATTCGTCGGCGGTGCTTAGTCATAATTGAATTAGATGGTACTGCACCGGACATCAGCTTAGTCTGTTTGTGATCTATCTGGTTGTATTTGCACTGTTAGTCTGGATGCTGAGATGTTGTCATCCACAGTATTTCGTATCTTAGAATTCCAGTATTCGTCATCATCTCTTTTGGCTACGGTTCCAATGTTCTGTTCTGTCTGAGTTCCACACTGAACATTCCTCTTTTTCCTTACTTGTAGTATCATTGTTACCATGCTCTTCACGCCGAAAACTCCATCTCTTACGCTAGCATGGATTATGGCTGTCGCTAGATCCTTCGCGAGCCTGGTCCATTGTTTAACAAAGTAGCGGATAAGTATGATCATTTGCGTAGGTACTTCATGCACAAGTTAGCAAAGGTGTCCTGATGGTAAATTATTTATTGGACAAAAGCAGAGAGTCATAGATACTCCCGCCGTTTACCCGCGCTTATTTGAATTTTTCACATTGACATTCAGAGCACTGGGCAGAAATCACATTGCGTCAGAACCGTTTCACCAGCCATCGCAATGCTTTGTTTTAATTAAACAGTCAGATTCCCCTTGTTCCCTTGAACTGATGATGGCGAACTTGGTGTTTTTTTTATGTGATCTGTGACTGTTAACATGAGTGAAGCTAGGATTTTCTTAGGGGTGAGGGAGATTTTCCGAGCTTCCCAAAGCGCTAAAAAGGCCCTTTTCGGGCAAAAATTTTTGTACCCTAGGCGATGAATAAACATACCCATAAAGGTGTTTTTAGGCTCTTTTTGAACAGTTTTGAATACAAAATTGCGTTTTTTGGTGCGCGCTCCCCGCTCAAAATTAGTATATGCTTGGCGCCAAAGGCGATTTTAAAATAATTTTAGGGTCAGTCATAACAAAGGGGGGGCTTTGGGTATTCAGGGGTAGAATCACGGAAGGAGGGGGTACGGCGCCCGCTCTCCCTAAATCCGCTACTAATTTTGAATCTATGGTTTTAAATAAAACTGTGTTTCTTTTTTGGTGTTTCTTATGGGCTGGGTAATAATTCCTCATCCATAGGCAGCGATCAAGGATCCTGATGAGAAGTAAGCTTGTGCAGATTTTGTTTCCGAAATTTGAACTAATTTAGTTGCCAGTGATTTGCAGTAATATCGTAGAATAACCTATAACTATTTCAGTTTTTGTTCCGAACATTTGAAAAATGGGGAGGAACTTTGTATTTATATGTGTTTTAGTTTTTCTGTTTTCCACGCAAAATCCGGTACAAAAATTAATCATCGAAGTGATATATCAGACTGAAGCCTTTTCAGTCGTGATTCGAACGACATTAAAAAAAACGAAAAAAATTTTCCTGAGTTGGGAAAAACTAGTTTGAAAGCTTTGATTTTGGTTTAATTTCGAGCGAATAAAGGCGAGCGAGTAGGCTTACAATAGCTCATGTATGCTTAATTTAAGCCGCAAAAACTTAGATTTAGGCGAGTATATTTATTTTTTGGAAATCAAAAACTTCATAACTTCTGCAACAAATGAGAATTGAATTTTTTTTTAATTTTTAACGTTTTTTTCTTTTCCATCAAAAACGGTTGTCAAATATTCCTATCTTATTTTGCTATGACTGTTGCAAAAACCTAAGCTGTAGTTTTTCGTTGAAATCCATTTATCTTTCCACGCAGAAAAAAAAAGATACTAATTTGAAAAACCTTTTCATTGTATTTTTTAAGGCTATGGTCGGAACATTTTGTGCTATTTGCATAGTAACCGACTATCCTTGTTTACAAATGCTTTTAACATACAAGATCGATGAATTAATCAGAATATGTGTATTGTCTTGTGATTTTTTTTCCATTTTTGTTGTAGGTGGTAGAGAGAGCCGCTTTTCCCAACCGACTGTGGGAGCGAGTGGCTCTTTCCAACAACTATCTCAGATCTCTGCAGCTCATAACACGCCACCTCGCATTCTGGCAGCCAAACATGGTGTTCAAGGTCAAACAGCGCTTCACCAGAATGAAGCAGTACATGGTTAGAAAGAAACGACTGATGAAGAAGGAGCCGGAAGTTCACTTGGAACTGCTCAAGAACAAACACCACAAGCGTGAAAAGAAATTGGAACACAAAGCAATGAAAGCGGCCAAATTGGAACGCACAGTTGAAAATGAACTGAAAGAAAGGCTGAAAAATGGAGTTTACAGTGATATCTACAATTTTGATAAGGAAATATTTAACAGGCTAACGGAGAAAGAAAAGACAGAAGATAAAGAGTTGGATGACCTGGAAATGGAATCCGGAGATGAACTTAATTATGAAGAAGAAACGGAAAGTGTGAACGAATTTGAAGAACCTGTGAAAGAATTAGTGGAAAGTGATTTTGAAGGCCAGTCTGAAGACGAAACGCCAGCAATAGAGGACTTGGATATTTCCACAAAAACAAAGTCAAAGTCATTAGTCAAGCCAATTTTGAGTAAGAAGAGTTCGAAAATGTCGAAAAAGAAACACAATAAAGTAGAGTTTGAGTACGAAACTGAAGAACCACCTGCCAAAAAACAAACTGTGAAAAGTTTGAAGTTGAATTTTTGATATCATCTGTCAATAAAGTGTTTAATCGCAACTCAACTTGTTCAATTTGTGCAAGCTTAGAAGTAGGCTATCTGTAATTAAGAAATTATTGTTTAAAGTGTTGTTTAATTCGGTGTGAATACCGTGATTTGTGGCTTATGTATTCCCCGATCTGATGTATCAAACTGACCTCGGGGCAGTTTTGGTTATGCTTAGTGATCGTTTTAGATAGTATCATGTGATATCAAGAACTATGTCTGGAGGACAGGCAACGAATAGCAACCAGTTCCTGTCAAGGGCCAACCATATGCGTCAGTCTCAACTAAACGCCCTGATGGATAATTCTGGCAGCCAATCACAATCCGCATTGTTGAATCCAACCGCTTCGGATGCGAATTTAAAAGTGAACCATGAGAAAGAAAGTTTGCTGACTGAAATTGCGAAAATAGTCGCGCACGATTCAAAAGATGGGAAACTTGAATGTTCTTCGAGCTCTTCGGCTAACGATCTTCAAAGAGCTAATTTTTCTGTCAATGCAAAGTTAATCCAAACAACCAAAACTGAAGATGAATTGTCTAATTTGGGGGTCGATGCTTACAATCAAAATGAATTCGAAAACGAAGCTATTCAGCAGTTCGAAAAACAAGTAAATTACCAACAGTTTCTGAAGTCAAAAATCGATCTGGAAGCTGTTGAAAAGAAAATTTTTTCTCTCAAAAAGCAAATAGAAGAAGTTGAGGTTTTGATCCGAAAAGCGAATCAATCTAAACTATTCGAAGTGCAGAAAAAGCGAAATGACCTTATTAAAAAACAAGCTGACTTGGAAATGAAACTGGAAGATGTGAACAAAGACGCAGAACGTCTCAAAGATGAAATTGACAGTTTTGTCAACAGTGGAGGCAAAAACAGTTTGAACAGTCAAGAAACAGAACGTGAACGGTTAATTCGGATAGGAGAAATTACTCCTTTCGAAGCAACCCCAGAACTCGCAGCTAATACTTTGTCTCAAAATGTTCAGCCTGTGAAAATTGATATTTATCCTAATAGACTTCTTGCAAAAACTAATCACTCCATTTCGCCTAAAATAATTGAGAAACATTCAAGATGGAAAAAAGAAGAAGAAAAAGGTTCGAAGCGCTCGGAAGAAGAAAGTGGCTCGGAGTATTCTGAGTACGAGACTGACGAAGAGTTAGGTTACATAAGCAGTGATGACAATTCAGTAACTCGGAAACAAGTCGGCGACTGGAACGACTCGGATTACTTGACCCGAGTTTCCGACTCGAGTTTCGACGTGACCAAACGTGAAAATTTTGAAGAGGTTTGTGGTTTGAGAGTTCCGAAAGTGATTTACGAGCAACTTTTCAAGTATCAGAAAACAGGGTTAAGATGGTTGACTAATCTGCATACAAATGGTACTGGCGGTATTCTTGGTGATGAAATGGGCTTGGGTAAAACAATCCAGATGATTTCATTTCTAGCCGGGCTGAAATACTCCTCGATAACGGATTACACAGTCGGTAGCTTCAAAGGATTGGGTCCCGTCATAATTGTGTGCCCTGCCACTCTAGTTAAACAATGGGTCGCTGAGCTTAATAAGTGGTGGCCTCCCTTCCGAGTGGCCGCCTTAACGTCCGATTGTGAGAGCTCAAAACAAACCAAAGTGGTTTCAAAAATCATATCAACCAATGGTGTATTAGTTTGTTCATACTCAATTGTGAGAATACTGGAACAGAATATTGTTCACAAGAATTGGCATTATGTAATTTTAGATGAAGGCCATCAAATACGCAACCCCGATGCGAAAATAACCCTAACTTGTAAAAACTTCAAAACAAACCACAGAATTATTTTGAGCGGGTCTCCAATACAGAATAATCTGAAAGAGCTCTGGAGTATTTTTGACTTTATTTATCCGGGGAAGTTGGGAACGTTGCCAGCTTTTCAAGAACATTTTGCAGTTCCAATAACTCAAGGTGGGTATACAAATGCAAATTCAGTTCAAGTTCAAACCGCGTATAAGTGTGCCTGTGTACTGAGAGACACAATTAGTCCATTTTTATTACGGAGAGTAAAAGACGACGTGAAAAGTTCACTTACGTTGCCTAAAAAGAGTGAACAAATTCTGTTTTGTAAATTATCAGATGAGCAAAGAATGCTTTATAAAGGCTATATTGACAAAATTGACCTGCGAACGATCGGAAATTTCAAGGGAATGCTTTTCACTAGTTTGACTAATTTGAGAAAAATTTGCAACCATCCTAGAATTTTCGAAGCTATTGGAAAGGAAGTTTCAATGTCCGAAATTGGCGATGACGGTCATTGGAAAGAATCGGGAAAAATGATTGTTGTAGAATCATTACTGAGGTTATGGAAAAGACAAAATCATCGAGTACTTATTTTTACACAGTCAGTGCAAATGCTGCGAATATTTGAGCAGTTTTTGATCCATTTCGACTATCGGTTTTTGAAAATGGAAGGCAAAACGACAATCTCGAGTCGCCAGCCAATGATAACTCAGTTTAATTCAGATCCCTCGATTTTTGTGTTCCTCTTGACGACCAAAACGGGAGGTCTGGGAGTGAATTTGGTAGGCGCTGACCGGGTGTTAATTTATGACCCGGATTGGAACCCTGGAACAGATATGCAAGCACGTGAGCGAGCTTGGAGAATAGGCCAAGATAAAGATGTCTTAATTTACAGACTAGTTTGCACTGGTACTATTGAAGAAAAAATTTACCATCGTCAAATTTTCAAATTATTCTTGACCAATAGAATATTGAAAGACCCAAAGCAAAGAAGGTTTTTCAAGTCACATGACCTGTATGATTTGTTCACGCTTGGCGATGATGATTCGAATGAGAAAGGAACTGAAACCAGTTCGATTTTTGCTGGCATAGGTGCCGATATAGTTAAAAGGGAAGAAAATGAAGGCAAAACTACTTCTAAAGTGTCGAGAAAAACTCAGTTTACACAACCTGTTCCACTGGCTAGTGTTCCGGTTCATAAATTAGTAAAACCAACATCACCTGTGAAAAAAGTTGCTGTTAAACGTGAAGATCCGAAATCAGAAAAGAAACGACGGAAGCGTGAAAAGAAAGCAGTCAGGGGGGCTATTAGGGATATGATGAGTAAGTGGGGGGTCTCGACTGAAAGCGAAATGGGCAAGAGGATGGTTAGGAGACTGAAGAAATCACAGACACTTCAGAATGCCGTGAAAGACAGAGCGGGAAAGATTGATGGAGCCAAAATACACGGTACTCTATTCGAAATTGCTGATCAATTTTTTTAAATTAATAGTTCGCTTGCAATTAACAAGCATTATCAAATCGAAATATAGACATTTCGAGGTTAGAAAGTAGTTTAACATAATCGCCTAAATCATTTGACACATCGGCTCACAGAAAATCCAAATTGTGGAGTTAAACTGTACATGTGACATAGAGGTAACGCACCTGCCAATTAAAACAAACGTCTGAAGTTTGATTCCAGCCAGGGCCTGTTTTTTTAACGGGAATTTTTCCTGTGACAAAATTATTCATCGGACCTGTTTGTCTGCTTATTTTTTGCCGGCTTAGTTGCGATAGCACGGAATTTGACTATAATTTGAGTAATTTTACTAGAATTGAAAATCGTTTCATTGTTTTCTGGTTTTCATTGTTTTCTCGTTTCAAGAAAGGTGCATGTTGAAGGTTTTACGAGTTCAGACTCTTTTGTAGGTCGCAGAGTTTTTCCTCAGGTAGTTTAGGCTGAAACAAAAACGTGATCGACTTCTAGTTTCGTAAGTAGAATTTAATTTTCAGATTTCCCATTGTTGTCGATCACAGTGCTAGTCATAAGTGTTCCATAATTTCAAAGAGCTTAGCGGCATCTATTTTTTTTTGAATTTCAAAAGTGAGGATTTTCCAAAAAAACAAATCATTGTTTTTGTTTACTTGTGTTCATTGGCTTTTTCAACTGTCTGTTGGCTATATTTCGTTTTGTCTTTGAATTTGTTTTTATTCGAAACAAAATTAATGACCAGCACCTTCACTGAAAAATTACGATTCTTTCTGATTGCCTTCTCCTAAAATTTGTTGAAACATGATTTTGTCTTATTACAATAATTGAAAATATATATGCTACGGCGTAAAAAGTGTTCCGTTTATTGCTCTTTTTTACACGAATAATTCATTCGCCTGGTTTGAGTGAGCTTTTATAATTTTTATGCGCTAAAGAATGAATAGATTGTATCTAATTTTGTCATATTTTGAACATTTTTCAAAAATTTGAAATTTAATGTTTTTTTTTTCAAGTATTTTTTACACTTTAATTCTGGCTCATTTTTTGTATCGCGCGTGGTGCAAAGCTCGGCTTCGCCTCTTTATAAATTGTTTTTTAATGGTTTCACTGTGGTGTTTTCCTAAAATGTTCAGTCCTGTTTTGCGATGTATTTTTGACAGTTGTGGTTTTTTCCTTGAATAGTCTTAGCAAATTGAAGACTTTCCAAATTTCATTTGTTTCAGCCCAAACGATAAAAAAACTGTTTGGTAGAGTGGGTAGGGGGCAATAATGCGAATGAGGTTTCCAGTATGAGGTTTTTAGTGTTTTAGTGTCTGGTTTTGCCTGATCCAGCTGTATATGAATATTAAACTGAGTTTGGTCGCTGGAGGTTTTAGATATTGTTTATCCGCAGTGATGCAAAATACGGCTTTATCGCAGCGAGAAAAAAAAATTTTTCTTGATGAATCTTATGTTTTGTCTTATCAGAAAGTCTAGATCATGTTTCCGCTTAAATCATAAGTTTTGGTAGGTTGGATTTCGAAGATGCTTTTCAATTTCGTTTCCCCAAATAGAGCTTAAATTTTGCTTTCTGATAACAATAGTAGAAACAATAATCGCTTTTCTCGTTCAGTCTGAAACCAATTAAGTTGTTGGTAACGTCAATTGATTTTATAGAGCGCATATTGGTCAGATTTTTTTAATTTTGTGGTGAATGGATTTTTTTTTTCACCAGGAATATACGCTTGAATCATTTTCAGATCAGCTGTAAATAGATTCATGAATATACTGCTATACTAGTAAACTTTTCTTGATTCATTAAACTCTTTTCACTGAACTCTGAGAGTCTAGTAAAAAGGACAAAAAATGAAAGATTCTTAGAATTCTTTTGTTTTCTAGGATTAGACAAAGTGAAGCGCATGAAGAGAAAATCGGCAGAACAAGAAGAAGTTGATGATGATGGAAAAAAGAATAGGGGAGGGGACAAAGAGGAACAGGAGCAGCAAGAGACAGACTACATTCTGGGCAAGTTGTTCAGTGGAGGGGGCATACAGGGGGCAATACAGCATGACGTCATCGAGGATAGGGGGCAGGGTCCAGACTACTGGCTGGTCGAGGAGGAAGCCGAAAAGTGAGTTCAAGTAGTTTCTCTTAGACACTTCTTAGCAGACACTTTTCCACTTGAAGTCACTTTCTAGAAAGGAAAGGGAGGTTTAAGAGTCTCTAAATTGACTTCAATAGACTAAAATAATTCAAATTTCACACAACGTAAGAAGGTTTCAAGTAAAATGGGGTATAAAAACAGTTGACGGTTTTTATTCTAACGAGATTTTTAACATTTGCAGGAGTGAAATTTTCGGATCTTGTTAACTATTCCCCCTATTTCGATTTTCAGAAATTCAAATTTGGCTGCCACATTTTCAATAGCTTAAAACAATTTTCAGAATATATATACATATACATATATATATACATGTATATATGTATATATGTATATATGTATATATGTTTATATGTATATATGTATATATATTTAAAAGTTTTTACGTGGGTATTATATAAACAGTGAGTAATACAAATACGAACGCGCGAAAATGAAAACCCACTTAATTGTTGAAATTTTTGAAATGCATGTTTTATACAGTAATGGTTGTCAAAAATAATACATTCATAGGGGGGGGGGGATAGTTGACGAGGTCAAAAAGGGGGAATAATTAACAAGATTTGATATAATTTTATGTAGTAAATACTTGTAACTTGCTTTTAGAGTTGCACAAGAAGCAGTGGCCAAACTTAAAAGCTCTCAGCAGCTGTGTCAAACTGCCCTGGATGGAGTTCCGAACTGGACTGGGAGACATGGTTTCATCCGAAGAGACTCCGGGGGAGGAGGAGCCAAAAAGTTCGGATCCAAAGCCAGCTTCATGAGGAGCTCAAACATGAATTCCAGTTCATCCGATGCACAATGTAGTAATTCAAGTGGTAATGGCTTGAATGGACTCTCAAGTGCAGAAATGTTGAAAAATCTCAAGTTGAAGAAGATTGAAGGTGCCACTGCAACCACGTCCTCCGCCAATCCATTTTCAAGTGAACAGTCAAAGACAAGAAATGACGTCATTATTGATGAGAAAGTTCTCGAAGAAATAGTGACGTACATAAAGTTCCATTCGGAAAATCCAGGCGAAGCTACTAGCGAAGAGCTGATTGATCAGTTTAAGTCGCAAGTGGGTGAAGGAAACAACGCTATTTTTAGAGCCATGCTAACCCAGGTATGCGAGAAAACGCAGTCATTCACAGGAGCAGTTGTGTGGAATTTGAAGCCAGAATTTTCAGCAAGACTCTCAGAAACGTGAAACTGAGGAATAATGGCTTTCTATGATGAACTAAAAAAATAGATTAGTATTAAATTTTTTCTCGGAAAAGTTTTTTTTTGCTTTTTTGAATTATTTCAAGAATTGAAGTTCTATATCACTAGTTTTACTTTTTCAAGAATAGTGAAGACCGTAGTTATCCTAACCAATCTGGATTTAGTTTCAGTTTTTGCTCAGGATTTTAATATATGCGGTTTCGCTCAAAACAAACTAAAATCGACGCGACTACCGGATTGAAAAGTAATACGGCGAATCAACTGAGTGTTGTCGGCTCGAATAGACTTGCAAAATTGCTACTCGCTTGAATAGACTTGCTCGTAACGAAAGACTATGTACGATTTACATAAAAAAGTCAGCATCAGAACTAGATCGAGAAGTCAAATTGAAATGACAATTTATCGATCACTAACTAGTGAAAACATAAAAAATCGGTTAGACCCAAATTGAGCCCGATTTCCAAAACGTTGCCTTGGTTGTTTGACCCAGTTTAAATAAAATGAGCTTTGAATAAAATGAAGCAGGAGTTAAATTTTTTTCAAGCTAACTACGTTTAAATTTGTTAATCTGACGAAAATTGGCTGAAATCCTCAAAATCTCGCAAGCTTAGATTTTACTACATGGAACTGTGCAAAGTCTTTACTTCTTCTTGATCTCCATTACCGCACTCTAACATATTTAATAAATACCTCAAAAACTTCAATTTAGGTCTTGTTAGTGCCGATGTTTTTTTAATTGCTTCAATACGTTTTTGAAGGTCAGAAGATTGTTGATTTGCTAAAACATCATGCGGTTTGAAACGGTATTTTAGTCAGCTAAGGTGGGTTTCAGGGTGTTTTGAATCAGGTTGTTTTCTTTGGCTAAACAGTGTTTTGTTCGTTTGCTTCTTTGGCTAAACAAAGTTTTTGAAGAGTGTGTTCTTTTCGCTTGACTTACTTTGGTTTTCAATTGACTTCGCGCTCTTCTGTAAAAAAAATACCTCAAAAAATCAAAGTGTTTTCTGCGAAAAGGTCTAGATTTATTATTTCTAATTTTCTATTCAATTTTTGGTCAAAAACACTGATAACGAATGCACTAATTTAAGTGTTTTAAGAAAAAATTCTAACTTTCAAGTTTTTTGGATCGTTTCATCACAACGAATGAAATACGACAACATCAGGAAAAAAAGAAACTGGTTTTTAATTTTAATTATGGTCGGAACATTCTGTTATACTTGCGCAACAACCGGTTATTAACCTTATTCAAGTTCTATTGAAGTTTGAAGCGATATGATGATACAATTTTAGTTATCAAAAAATACATATTACCATCAACTCATTTGTTTGAAAATTTATTTTTGTGGGTTTTTAAACTTGTTTTATGAATATATAATGTTTTCATAAGTCTATTAGTGCTTTTTTATGTAGTAATTGGTGATATTGAAATGAACTGTTAAGCTAATCTTTAAAACTAGAAATACACTTTTTTCTCTATAACATTGCTGTTATTTAACATTTTTCTTGTCATCGTTCCGACTACTGAAAACGAGGAGGAATCTCGACCTTGTGTATTTTTTTCTCACTTTTTTGCACGCAAGCTGAAGTAGGCGACTGATAACTACAAAAGTGGGTCTCATGATTGATCAATTTGAAAATGATTAAAGCACGATTATTGCTATATTTGTGTTTTTTTTTGTACAAAAGTTGTCGAGAAAAGCTGGTTTGAAAATGTTACTTTTAAGTCTAATTTTGAGCACGCAATGTGGGGGTGTATTATTTTTCAGAACAAACGGTCAATCAATCCGTAGAAAAAAAATTACATAAAAACAGTTTTTGAAGTTTCATTTGGCTTTCTCTTGGCAAAATCAGCGAAAAAAATTTGAGTTTTTTTTTATTACACATGTGCGTGGCAACCTGGTACTTGAATTTTTTTTCACGGGATTTTTTCAACTCACAGGACTCAATTGGACTTCTTGGACAATTCTGTTGACATCAAAAAATTCTTTTCTTCTTATCCTGGTGGTAGCTTTAAAAACTCGATTTGTTAATATTTAGTTTTTCTTGTTCTTCCATTTTTTGTCAGCTTAATGGTTTTCGGCTTAAATTATAGCGGCTTATTGGCCTCCTATTGAATCATGCGATGAGCAAAAAAGTTTGTGTGTGCGTGTGTATTTTAAAGGCAAAGGGGGCTCAAAATTTTTAGTTAGTTAGTTGTAAGTACTTTTTTAAAGGTTTGCTGCTCAGATATTTTTGGCCTATGCCCAAACTTGATAAAAAAATTGTCTGCTCTTTTTGTGTTTTCTTTTTTTAGTCTTCAAAAAATATACATGTTTTTTCATGTTTTTTTAATGGAAAATTATAAAATGTTTGAGTTAAATCATGTTCAAATAATCAAATTAGACTGAGGAAACAAGCACTCAAAACATATTTTGTCTTATGATTTTTTTTTCATTTTCAACTCTGCAATAATTATTGTGCTCGGAGAGTTTTGTGTCACCTTGCACCGTGATAGTTTTTTTCTTAGATAATATTAGTTATATAGAACTAATTTATTTGTCTTCAGCAACGACAACTTTTCTGCTTGTTAACTAAATAGGAAAAGCCCAAAAAAGTTTATTATTTAGAAGCACAACAACAGTACATCGCAAACGGAAACATCGAAAACAAGTAGCACTCTGTACCTTGACATTTAAACTTTTGAAACACTGATACTACTAGCATGCCCAGTAAAGTTATTTCTGTGACTTGTTCCCACTTTCCTGTAAAATCCAGGTTTTTCTGACTGACTGCTGTTTGACAGATTGAATGATTTCTGCGCTGAAGCAATTGTTGTTTGAGTCGGTACATTTCCTTGTCGGCCGTTCGCACAGTTTCGTACAGCTGGCTGACGGGAAGTATTTGGTCTTCGGAACTTTCGAATCAAAGAATCAATCATATTCTTCAACTCATTTCGGAACTTTCGTGACAGAATCAAATATATATTTGGGTTTATTGCACAATTTACCACCAAAATAGGGTAGGCCAAAATTGCGAGGGCGTGAACAAATATTTTGTCAGCCGGGTATATGCAGGTCAAAAATGTTTCTGCAATGAGTTTCCAGGCACTGGTCACCACGTATAACAGTTCGCAAACGTAGAAAGAAGTTACCTGGAAATGTGACGAGAATGTATGAAAAACTAAGATTTATGGATTATTTATCAATTTTTTTTTCACCATTTTTGAAGCACTATTTTGTCTTTTGTTTTGAAATATAGCAAAAAAGGATAAGGATTGAAAGCTGAATTTGATCGGAACTGACGAATTAGTCTTGTCTAGTAGATTAGCGAATCATCAAATTCTTTTCAAATTAAAAACGAAGAGAAGTCTGTAGTTGGAATGCGATTTTTGGGATGCGAGAAAAGTCGAGCTTACATTTCAGTGAGACGTCATTGTTGCCTAAAATAGGCAATTTTATTATTACTTTCAGGTGTGGATCTAGAATTTTCTCGAGGGGTACAGATTTTCGAAAAAATTGCGAAAAATTTTTGCCAAACTGTTTTTTTTTAGTCGACAAAATTGATTCTTTGAGCTCCCCCAAATCCTTATAAAGACCTTTTTGACCAAATTTTCTGCGCCACAGGCAAATTTTTGAAAAAACAGGCCAAAAAGGCGTTTTTAGCCTTTTTTTTGGAAAATTTTGACAAAAAAAATTGCGCGTTTCCCCCTCAAAATGAATATCTCCCCTCCTAAATCTGCTATTGATTACTTTTGATTTAATATTAAAATGCTCCTCGTCACAACTAGCCGACAGTGCCAGAATGTAGAAAATTCTGTTTCTGGAAGAGAGGGCGCCGGTTGAGTTGACAGAGTTGGTGTTCCTTCGCAATCCGTCTGCAGTCGTTGTTGTTGTTGATCTTGTTGGTATTTTCGGAACAGTCAAATGAGAACTACTCGGAGAATTTCGAGCGGTTGCTGCTTTCGTCGCGTCTAAGGAAGCTCAAAAACTGTTTAATTTTTCAAATAGTCAAAAAAATTTTAAGTTTATAAATTATGTTTCTATACCAAAGAAACCTGAAAAACCGTTCAGTTTAATAACCATACACTAGAAAAATTGAACCAATTTTGCAATGACAGCAAGAAAACATTTAATTTGCTCTACAGGAGTTTTTGATTTTTTATTATTATCATTTCTTAGTTTGAAAAAACTTGTTCAATTAAATATTAGCTTTTTTGGCTAGTCTATAAGAAACTGCGATTTTTTGAGTTTCTGATCTGAAACGATTATTGAAAGAACTTCGCAGGCCACTGATCAAACAGCGTTAAACAGGTTCAAACCCCTTTTATAATAAAAAAAACTTTTTTGCTCACGGAAAACAGTATAATATCATAGAACTTTCAATAGAATTTTTTTGAATTTAGTTTTTTCTGAGCTGTTATCTTTGAGCACCCTTAGTAGCGTCGACTCTTTTTCGAGGCGAAACTTGTTGACTTGCAGTTTTGTACTTTTCCGCGTCTGCTTTCAAAAACTTGTGGATTTTGAAGAAGACGATTCCCAAAACCAATGCTGGAATCGCAAACCCAGTAATTAGGTGGAACAGTTTTGTAAGTCGAGTGAAATAACCGAAGAAGTATATCTCATACATACAGATGTTGGGCTCAGTGAATTCAGTTCCAATAAGAGTCAAAACTGTCAGTGCTATTATGTACGCATAAACTAACACGACAACGATCTTCATTTTCCATTTTTTCATCGGCTCTCGCAGTAACATGGCGTGATAATATCGTTCCCAGGAGCTGAACACCATCAGCAAGGTTGTCCCAGAAAAGTACCACGTATAAGCTGAGGCTGTGATTTTGCACCCGATTTTTCCCAAAAAGTGTTCATGCCAAATGACATAGTAGAGTTCGTTGAAGCTGTGAATTAAAAAAGAGACGATAAAGACAAAAAAGAAAGACGAGTTCGAAAACAATCAACGATACTTTTACTGAAAAAAGGGTCTTTATAAACTAAAGCATATGTTAACTTGACTTATAGAACTATTTCACTTTTGTAAATCTCATTGGTCCGACCACCCACCCAAAAGATACCACTCACCCGAAAACTATATAGTGGTCCAATCACCCGAAACTTTTCCCTAATCCAAAAAAAAAGATCCATTCACCCGAAAGTTCACCCAAAACCAGAAAAACGTCCATTCGCCCGAAACCAATTAACTCAAAGATAGAAAATGAGTCAAATCACCCATTTTTCACGCTAGCTTTGACCCTTAGGGGGCAGAAACGTCCCAATATCAAAAAAGTTTTGTTTTTGGGTCAATGTTTGTGTAGTTGACCCTTCGCAAAGAGATTAATTTTTTGAAAAATACAATCGGCCAAACTGAACGTTAAATAATCTGATCCGCTTATTGGTGAGAAATCTACAGCGAGAAATCGACATTCAAAGGTTAAAACAGTTGCAACTTTGCTTGAAACGAAGAGAACGAACAATTGATGAATTTTACACAATTTTGCAGTTTCTCTACAAGTATTCAAGACTATTGATGAAACTATTTAAAAAGAAGGATCGAATTGGCTCAAACCTGAAACTTTTGTTTCGGAAGATTTGTTTTTACCATGAATTGTTAGAGAGGCGTTAGAATTGCTGAAACTCTCTGGTAAGTGCGAAAAAAAGCCTTAGTTTATAAAATCGATTTTTTTTCGGGAAGCTACCGCCCCTGTTTCTATAGCGCAAAAACAATACAAAGTGCAACAACAAGTCAAAAAGAGAGCAGCGGTGAAGGAGAGGTGGTGAAGTGGTTACACTCCGTCTCTCAATCGTAAGGTCGTTGTTCGAGACCCACCATGATCCGTGCTTGTTGCTTGAGGGAGAGGCAACACTACCCAGCCCAGAAAATTAACCAAAAGAGTTACATGTAATTCTTAAGCAGGGGCACAATAGAGGTTTGCCGTGATGAGCTGTACAGCTAGTATGTTGGTCACTTCCTTCGTAGATAAATGGTCTTAAATTGAAATAATCGTTAAATTAGGTCAAGATAAAACTTTTACCGCAAGCTGTTTAAAGTAAGACTACAGAGGTCTATTTAAAGCATTTGCTTTGAGTTGAAAATGGCTGTCGCAATTAATTGAACCAGGATTTTTCGTAGATTTTTGTTTTGTCTGAAACTCAATGAAAAGGGTAAAATTTTTAATGTATGGTTGATGACACCATTACAAAAACTGACCAAAAAAAATTTGATATTTTATTCATGTTTCTGACTATCAAAGAAAGTTACAAAATAATTGTCCTCGGGTCAATTTTTGTTCCGACTTTCGAAAAAAGTGACGGAATATTTGTGCTCGGGTGGTTTTTCTTTCTCCGTGGCCTAAATAGTTTGTCATGGCCTAAACAGACCGCATACCAATTTTTGTAACAATTTGACAATGTGAACAGAATCTTACTTATAAAATTGCAGGTGGTGGAAAGCAAAGGAACCCGCCATTTTGAAATAATTAAAGCGCTATATATTTTGTGCTATAAAAGCGTAAGCGGAAATTTAATAGTTCTTCGTCTTAGAAATTGTTCCAAATTAAATTAAGGTATGCTATTTGGTGTATTCAATACTTTACTGTATGCAAAACAAGGCTGCACGTATCAGGGAAAGCACTGAACATCCCTCCCAAATGCCATTTTATTATTCGGTAATAGTTTTTGCTAAAATGAGTTTTGGCAAAATTATGATTTTTAGGCTGATCAAATTGAAATTTAAGTGTAACAATTTGAGTCGGGTTTGGAATTAATAAAAGCAATTAGCTTCCTTAATTCAATTTGGAACAATTTTATTTGTAGGGCGGGATAATTCGCCACGCGGGTAAATTATAAAACGAGCAGTTTAGGCAGATTCCTGGGAGGTTACAATAATGGTGTGCACACTCGGCTGGGCTCGTGTAGATTAAGAGATCGATCGCCGAAGAATCAGCGTGTTGTAAAACTAGTCTAAGAAACCACCCGAGCATATTTATTTCTCACTTTTTCCAAAAATCAGAACAATGAATTATTTTTACTTTACATAGAGTCTGTTGGTATGCTTTCAAAAAATCAAAAAAAAATTACAAAGAATTTTTTTTTGAAATTTTCATCAATTTTTTTAATCAAAGTTTAATTTACAGAGCTTTTGAGACAATCAAAACGTTCAAGGCTTCAACCTGATACGAGCAGTCTTGTTGTTCCGACTTTCGTTACGAAGATAACGGAATATTTGTGCTTGGTTGGTTTTTTTTCTTGAGACAAATTTTCACTTTTTAACTAGCCATTTTTGACAAAATTAAAAAAAAAACATTCAAAAAGTACTGTTGTCCTGAGCTTAAATTTGACAACATATTTCATTTGAGATCATTTTTCCTAAAGTAATGGGGGTTTGAAGATTGTCATTTCGGCCAATTTGCGACAATTAACGCGCGATATATTTCGCGCTATCAACGCGTGAGCAGAGATTTAATGCGTCTTAGAAATCGTTCCATATTGGTTGAAAGCATATTTTTTTAAGCATAATAGTAATATGGAAATGTTTCAACGCCGTATATTTGTCCATGGAAATCTATCCAAAGATCCATCCCTTGAGCCAGAACTGGTTTGAAAACCATGTCTGGAAAGGGACAAACCATTTTCAGAGGCCGAAATGCAAAAATATGCTGTTCCAATAAGGTCTTCTCACATTATTTTTGAGCTAAAGAAATTGTTTTATTTTGTTCGTTTTCAGTGGCGGGCTCTGATCAGCTTATTTTCGGCCAGCCATGTTCGTATTTCTATTAGAAGAAAAATACTGAAACTTTTTTTAGAAGATAAAATAGATAAATAACGACAATTGCATGAAAAGTTTGGATTTTTGACTAAAATAGTTGAATATGCGGTAAGTTAACAATTGTCTGATGGTACGAATTTTTGGCTAACTTTCAGTTTTGGCAAGTTTTTGGCTAATTTTAAGTTTTAGCAAGTTTTTGGCTAATTTTAAGTTTTAGCAAGTTTATGGCTAATTTTAAGTTTTAGCAAGTTTTTGGCTAAACTTAAATTTTAGCAAGGTCTTAGCTAATTTTAAGTTTTAGCAAGTGACAGGATTTATCTGAGTCTTTTTTAAACACAAACTGGCCTGTGAGCGTAGTGCTAGACGTTCAGTTCACTCTTTTTAAAGAAATATCGCAAACTTTAATGCCAATTTTGTGCAAAGTTAAACAAAATGCCGGTTTTTGAGGAACATTTTCATATGCCAGACGCATCGAACTTCTAGAATGGCCACGTGAAGGCATTTTTAAGCTAATTTGAAAAATTTAGGGGGCTATTCTCATGACAGAGGGACCTATTTATCCTCAATTAGCATCCAAAAACTTTTGGATGCTGAAATCTGATTGGCTAACATCAATTTCGGGCAAGATGGAATCCATCAAACGTTTTGATTGGCTAACATCCATTTCGAGCAAAATGGAGTGCATCAAACGTTTACTGTACCCTATGAAGACTGTGCAGAAAAGGTCAATTAGTGCGAGGTTTGTGGCGAGGAAGCTGGCTCTCTTCTTGATGTGTCCAGTCTTGATTAAGACCAGAAGCAGCAGGGAGTTGGATATCAGGGACACTGGAATCACAGGCAGCAGAATCACCACTGTAGACACAGCAAAAATGGTTGAAGAGTCTGAAATATCAGCTATAGTTAACGCATGTTCTCTGCGCAAAAAAGCAACCCCTCCCCCCTCCCCCACCAGCAAAAAAATTTGCCACATGACACTGTTTTACAATATCCCAACATTTCCAAAAATCTTACAATTATTCTGTCTAAAAATACGTCTTAGTCAAAATTGTCAAAAAACGTTTTAGGTGACAAGTAATTTTTTACTTAATTTAATTGCTTTTTTTGCACTGAAGACTGATTTTTTATCTATATTCTTGGCAAATGATATGTTTTTTAGATTGCGAAGGGTAGTAATTGCTGAAAGATGAACTAACATGCAAAGACGTTTTTCAAAATTTTGTTCCAACTTTTTAATAAACCGAGGAAAGTGTTAAAATCGGTGCGCCAAAATTTCTTAGCGAAAACCGTGCACTTCTTGTTAAAAATGGAAGGCAATCCTGACTTTCTGGGAGGAGCCATCCAGGAATCGTGCCAGTAATTTAAGGATTTGTCTTCGAAAACAATTTTGGAAAAACAATTTTAGCATGGTATTTACATATCAGGAAGCAAAAAACGAAACATTGAAAACCAAGACTGGACACTGGCTACTACTTCTCTCTGAGCGAAGTTGAGTTTTGAGAAAATGTTCTAGGGATAATCGGAAAAAATTTTTGAGTTATAGTTCATATGCTATGAAATTGGCTACCAGTTTTACACCAACAAAATCGACCCAAAACTTCCTGGAGTCAGTTCATAATTTTACTCCTTTTAAACTGTAATATTTTTTGAACTGTTTTTTTTCTAGTATCTGTAATCTCCTGTTCTTGTATCCTTTCATTATTTTTTTTACAAGATCATCTTATCATCATGAAATTAAGAAGTTCATACACAAGTAACTCTCGAACCAAACACAGCTCATTACGAGGCCAAACTGTGCATTCTGTGCTTTGTTAGCTGATTCCGCAACAGGCTCAAATCAGCTTTGTCGCGGAATCCGCAACGTTGATACAATTCTTTGATTTTCTTTGCTGTTTTGGGTTCCACAAACAAATACCTAAAACACTGCACCGTTCAAAATCGCTCCAAAAAAGGCGAAATTGGGGAATCCGCAACCGCATTTGCGGATTCCAGCACAGTTTGTGGAATCCACAAACAAATAACGAGACATGTGTAAAGTTGAACTGAGCTGTTGCGGAATCCGCAACTGTAAGCAGAATCCGCAAACTGTAAGTGGAATTCGCAAATTTTAGTGGAATCCGCAAACTGTAAGTGGAATCCTTTTTTTTGTTTGCGGATTCCGTTTACATATCTGTATGTGTAGTAGCTTTTAAAACTATATCTTTTAATTACTATGTTTTATCAGCTACCAGTTGGAATACCAAATATTCGATCTCAATTCCTGTCAAACACCCAACTTCGATCTCAAATCTTGTCGAACATACCCAATTTCGATCTCAGTTACTATATATTCGTGTTTTTGAACTTAAAATTTTGTTCTGCTGTAATTCAAGTTTTGTAATTTTTATCTAATACTAATTTACTCAAAATAGTTAAATAGATCTTTTACTCCCTGTGAACAAAATGATTTGAATTCACGCTCCCAAATACTGAATCTCAAATACAAAATCCCAAATAATGAATCTCAATTACTGAATCCCAAAAACTGATCTAATTCGGCGATATGTCTACCCAGTAATGAAATACCCAATAATCGAATTAACCCAATGAATTTATTCGGTGTTGTGTTTTCAAAACTTTGATCCCAAAAACTGCTTGCAAATACTAAAGTGTGACATCCATCGATTTAGTTAACCAATTTCTTAAGATTTGTTTGTGAATTCCACTGACAATGGTTAAGTCCTTGCTTTTAAATACCGCAAGTGCATGAACAAGTTCAGTAATAAAGAAATTTCTGAATTACTTCACAGTTTGCGGATTCTGCCAACAAATTTTGCGGATTCCCCTTACTTTTGCCGATTCCACTTTCTTTTTGCGAAATCCACTTACAGTTGCGAATCCAGAACAACTAGCTAGATTTGCTTGTTGCGGAATCCGCAACAAATTAAATGTGCCGACAAATTTTACGTTACAAGTATATGTACGCGGAATCCACTTAAATCTTGTAAGTGGAATCCACTTACATTTTGGAACATGTTTAAATACTTGTCTCTGGAATACCCAGAACATACAGACACAAATTTGTGCGCCTATCCAGTGCACAGTTTGGCCTCGTAATGTTATGATTTAGTTATGACTCAGTCTCGAACCAGATATAGCTATGAATTTAAAGAAAATTGAGTCCTGAAAAATTTATGTGGAAATCTGAGCTAGAATAAGGATTTGTTTTCAATGATTGTAAATTTGTATTAAATGGTTAAAAATTTTTGTGTTTTGCCGTAATACAGCTTCTTATTTTTCCCTGCTTTTGAATTTTACTAAAGTTTTTTGGTTAATGGCAATGCTTAAGCCAATTTAAATCATTTTAACTGCGCTAGAGGGTAGAGATCTGATTGAAGAAAAAAACGCTTTGATACTGATTGTTAGAAGTTTTTCTTAAGCCTCCACCGAATACTATAATTTCTTTTCGGGATTCTTTGATCACAGGATGAGTGCAAATAGCATCTAAAATACATATTTTATGCAGACCTTGACTTAACAAAAACAAATATAAAATGTAGATATTTTGGCAAAGCGGTCAGACTCGAAACTTTCTACAATTTTATTTTTTCGTGCCATTCTACAATGAATATTTTAGTTTTGATTCTACTTGATCGATTTTCTTTATACACATTTTTGAAGAAAATGCTTAAAAATTTAAATGAAGAAATGCCGATAAGGCTGCCTTGTCTATCCGAGCGTTTTCACATATAAAGCATTCTCTCCTCTCAATTCGTGGTCTAAATATTACCGACGCTCTTTCTTTATTGATTGACTCACCGATACACTGACTCACCGATTAGTTCGATAGTTTCGGTCCAATTGTAGCCACATTTTTCAAAGTATTCTTCATTCATCTGTTGTCTCTATTTTCAGTTGATTTGTCAAAAGAAAGAAATTTGAATGAAATTTCAAGACGTCACGGAAAGTAAACACTAAGCTACTTATATAAGTAATTTTTGCAGCTTTTAGACAGGAGTGGATTTGTAAAGGAGGTGGCGTGACTTTGGTTCTTCTCAAATAGCAGTCAAAGTTTGGGAAAAAGAAAAAAAAATCCGCCTTATTTCTTCGCGAAAGGCTAAAGTTCGCCCTCCTTGAATTTATATTTGCATTTTTGGTGCTAAAGATGAAGGTAATGTTTTATGTTGACTCTGAATTTGATAAAAATTTGGTTAATTTTTTTTATTTAGAAAATAACTTTAGGTTATTTTGCAATTTTCTTTAGTTATCTTTGCCTAACTTAACGGAAAATTAACTGAAGGGTTTATTTTCAACTGGTTTCCACCAAAAAGTTTCTGATTCTAGCGAAGCAACTGAAAATAGAAATTAACTTCTTCGATTATTTGATTCCGATAGCTTTTTCTTTGAAAATAAATAGATTCAAATTCTTCAAAGGTTGATTTGTAACTCAATTAGCCTGTGTCAAGAGATGGATTAAAAAAGTAAGAATTTTCTTCTTTGCCAGTTTAGTGTTCTTTTTGATGAAAGATGGCCGACGTACAGTAAAAGTCAGTTCAAAGTAAACTATCAAATTTAACGGCCACGTGTAAATTTTTATCTGTAAAAGCAAATAGAAGTATATGCAAGGAAATAAATTTGATGAAATTTTTCGAAAAAGTGATGAAATTTGGAGATTTCTTACTGCCACAATGGGCGCTGGTTTTTTTAATAATTAAACAGGTTATGCGTTTTTAGTTACTGAAAGAAACTCTTGATACGAATATAGACGAGCAGTTAATATTCAGAAATTTTTTGAATTTAAAAGGTTTTCAATAAAAATCAAATGAAGGCATATGGAACTGTTCCGATAATTCATGTAACACTCAAAACCTGAAACGAACGCAAAAAATGTCAGATGAATTTGTTTTAAATAAGTGGAACCGACCCAAATCTGATGAAACTTAAATTTGATTAATAAGAAACTTCAAGTTTAATACTCAACTGTTCAAAATTCAAAGCATTTTCTGTCAACAATAATCTTTGGTATTACCAATCGAAAAGAATACCGAATTAAGAGTGGTCTAATAATACTTAAAACAAAGTCTAGCTTCACATAAAACTATTGGAATGTTTACAAAACCCAAAGTAAACTATGTTGTGGTCCAAAGGAGTCACGACAAGTTACATTTTTGAAGTAATGACGCTCAAAACTTTGGGTTAATTTTCCTGTTTTGCTGAGAAACTTGATAAGCACTTTGACAAAAATGTGACCCTTTTTGCTGAACAGAAAACGCGACAGTTTGGAGCTTCGTAAAATATATTTTTATAAACCCATCACTCCTTCAAAGGAAAATTTAAAAATGGATGGTTGATTCCACGCATTATTAAGTACAGCTCATAATAATCAGAGTGGGTTGAGTCATGCACCGTAACAAAAGCCATTTAGATCGTAATTAGGACAAACTTGAAAAATTTGACAAAAATGCCAAATTTTTTGTTTTGCAGTCTAATTTTGAGCAAGTGAAGCGAGCGAGTACCAGTGCTAAATAAAAATCACACGTTTGAGCTGTAAAACTAAGAAAAAAAAAATAATTTTGTCAAAAAAATATTAAAAAACATATGCCATATGATAGGTAAATAACAAAAGGATATGTTTCAAAGGAGATATCAAATAGACCAAATAGCATTCCTCATTTCAATTTGAAACAATTTTTAAGCCTGATTTAATCGCCACTTAGGTGTTTATAATTCCAAATATATAGCGCGTTAGTTGTCCCCAAATTGACAATCTTTACCCCAATAATTTTAGGGAAAATGATCAAAAGTGAAATATCTTTTGTAAGTTTTTTGCTCAAAGCAGCAATACATTTCAGATGGCATCAAAAAAAATTGGCCACAAATGGCTAGTTTAAAAGTCAAAAATGGTTTTCTTAAAAACCACCTCGAGCACAAATGTTCTGTCATTTTCTGCGAAAGTAGTCGGAATAAAAACTGTGGTCGGAATATTTTGAATATTTTGTTCGAACTGAAAGAAAACTGGTCATCTTGGAAATCAATTGCAATCGTAGTTTTGCCAATGCTGGGGCTACTATTGTTTTAAATTTTTTTCATTTGTTGATTTTTTAGCCATAGCGTAATGTTAAGTAATCTCAAGAAAAGTTTGAGATCTAATTTTGAGATCCTCTCAAGCTAACTTCATTTCAGAATTTCGTATCAGTAGGTATAATTTTTATTGTTGTTTCTTGAGTTCCTCTTGGAAAAACTTCTCAAGGTGAAGTCAAAATGAAACAATAGTCAAATATACAAAATCGGAAAAAACATGGAAAAAAACACCCTGACTGAACTTTCACTCAGGGTCGATCTAGGATTTTCTCGAGGGGAGGTGTGGATTTTCAAAAAAATGTCAAAAATTTTGTTAAATTTTTTTTTAGGTCGGCCAAATTGATTTTCTGAGCTCTCCCAAATCACTATAAAGACCCCATTTTTGCCAAACTTTTTAGGCCGCAGGCAATTTTTGAAAAAGTAGGCCAAAAAATGCTTTTTTAGGCACTGTTTTGTAAACTTTGTTAAAAAAAGTTGAGTTTTTTTCGGCGTTCCTCTCAAATAAAGTATACTTTGGCGCCAAAGGCGCCTTTAGAAAAAATTTTAGGGTCAGTTAGCCAAAAACTGTTATCTCAAAATAGTACAAAGGGGGGGAACCTTTGGGTCGGCAGGGGGTGGAATCCCTGAGCGGAGGTGGCGTCCCCCCTAAATCCGCTGGTGCTTTCACTAAAAAGTCTGAAAAAAAAGAAAATATTTCACCCTGAAAAAAAAATAATTACGTTCGGTATTACTCAAAAACGTTTCAGAAATGTATTTTATTTGGCACTGTTACAAAACCTCACCGTTGTTATAGTGCGCTTGTAGGAAATTTGTTTGATATTTTTTGTAGGATATTGGCGCAGATGCACTGATTGACCTAATTTAAACTAGATTCAGTTCTGTCACCAAGCCTGCAATAAATCTCCATATACGAGGAGAAAATTGTTTAGCTTTTGGATGTGCTTAATATTAGAAAAAAAAACCGAGGTATTATTTTTCACATAACTTAGACTTTTGAACCAGTCTACTACGTGATGGCCATGTTTCCACGGCGAGTACAGGGAAGATAAAATTACCAGATTCTTTTTATTTTGCCTGACTCAAAAAATGACTCTTAGTCTAAATGACTGTTTTTCATAAGTAAAAATTAGCCGGTCCCCAAGTATTCTTAATGCTGTTAAAATGGAGTTTTTAGATAAACAACTCAGATAATTAGACAATTCAAAATGCTGAATTGAAGTCAAATATATCATTGTTAGTGAAGTTACATGCCTTAGCCCCTTTTAATTGACTAGACTAATTGACTGGCCTATTTTTCATGACCACCATTTTGCTTGAACCTGGTAAACTTTTCATTCACTACAACACATTTTCTTAAATAGAGACCACGTTAACTCTTTTGTAATGGGAAAATTGACCAAAAAATACAGTTTCCCTAATTTTACCTAAATTGTCAATTAGAGCTGCAGACTTTCAGCCTTGATTGGGCTTAAAAGGACCACTTAATGAATTTTTCTAATCATGTTGCAACCTAGAAATCACTTCAAGGCTCGTTTGAACTTCGAAATTTGACACAGATAGATCAATTGCCTTGCTTCTGGAAAGATTCAGGAGTCAAAAATGAAAAGTATTCTTGAAGTTCTTTGGAACAACAGTTGGGCAAATTTAGTTGTATGCTTTTTTAATATTGGTATTATCAAATCAGTTGCAGATTATGATCAGTTTACCAAGCTTCCCTCAAGAAATTAAGTGGCATCTATATTGCTTTAGCAGTTCACAAGTTGCTCCTGGAAATGCCGAAGGTATAGACAGTAAAGTGTCCACCTTGGTCGTAGTCATCTCCGTCATAATTGCTTGCAGTTGTGGGTTTCCGTCCAGTTCCTCCACTTCATTTTCGATATCGCTCGTGTTGATACTCGGGTGTCGTTCTAAAAATTGCTCAATTTTTCGAAATGCTTTCTCCATGCTGTTGTTTGAATATTCAGTAAATTTTGAATTATCTATAAATAGCCTTCAAGTTAGTAATCGCTGTATCTATTTTTAGATTTCTTTCGCTTGACCGTCGGCATATGTAACGTATTTGATTCCTATTGGCTAAGCTATTCTCGCATGTTGCATCGCCCTTTAGCGGTCGTTTTTGGACATTGTTTGCTACGTTTCTATTGTTTGAAACATGTTTAGATGAGGCATATTGCTGCTTTATTTCCGGTCCTCCGGATAAATGCAATTTCCTTAATCCGAAGGTTTTACTAATAGAATTTATTTTCGCCATGATAAACATACTATCATACTGTGAAACAGGCTTGGAAAAACTGCTAGGATTTCTAGATAAGTAATCTGCTAGGCCGATTTTCGCCCCCGGTTTATGTTCCACAGAGAAATCGAATGGAATTAATCTGTCTAACCATCTTGTTAAGCGGCTGAACATTGTTTTGTTTTTCTTGTTTTTTTCCCGTTCAACAATGATATAAGAGCCTTATGGTCAGTAATAATTTTAAAAGTTCGCCCCAAAACATAATTCCGAAAACTTTCCGCCCCCCAAACAACTGCTAGCATCTCTAATTCATTCGTTGACTATCGTTTTTCCGCGTCATTTAGGTATCGCGATGCAAATGGAATTGGCCGCCATCCGTCTGTTCCAACTTGCTCTAGTACGGCTTCTTATCCATTACGACTTGCGTCACATACGATTCGAATGTCCTTGTGAACGTCGAAATGTTTTAGCTCCACGATTTTTGTGACTTGGTTCTTTTGGTTATCAATTGACGCCTGACATTCCGGTGTCCACGCGTATTCGTTTTTCCGGCTAGGTGAAAGGCCTAACGGCGCCGAAGATTCTGCTAGCGCCGGCATATATTTATGCAGGCTGTGGATCGATTCCATAAACAATTTGAGCTGTGACAGCGTGCGCGGCGGTTTCAAGTGCCTCAATTGGCGCGGTTTTCCGAACTAATGGTGTTATGCCTGTTGACGTGATCCTATGT